TGAAATCGGTGATCGCCAACTTTCGAGGTTTCACAATAAGAAAGCATGTCAATCTTATGTTGTACAAATAGACTATGTATTTATTTGTCCTAGATTCTATTGATGATCTATTTACAAATGTTTGTCTTTCGGTATTATCCACAATCACGGAGTAACGGCTTCTCCATAGAGAATAAAAGCGACTGCATTTGCTACAGTCCTGATCGGACATGATAATTACCGGTTGAACAGGTTACAAGAAGGTATTGTTTTCAATCAAGAGGTGCGTGTACTCAACAGTTTTAGAGGCTTATTTCGGTGTTCAGTAATGAGAAGCGCCAACTTAAATTTCGAATTACTATACTTTTGTGATTAATAACGAATAAAATAAAAAATATCCTTGTGTTATCCGCAACTTTGGAAGATATTCAGTTGATTTGTGAATGTATGAAACCGATTTTAAATTGTGTCAAACGACCGGATTTTTACTGTTTTAAAGTTCGTCGACTACATTGGCATTGTTATTATCATCATCAGAAATAGAGAGGAATTCACGTGATTTAGATGCAAAAATTAAAATTATTTCAAACCCTTATTTTGTCATAGACGATATGTGCTTCCCATGAAACAATTTGTTATGACTGTCAGATACCTAATAAATGTAACTATTTGGTGTAAAGCATGCTACTTAAAACCTTAATAATAAAGGTCATTTACATCCTGGTTGGAAATAATTGAATGTCTTAGACGTAATAAAGTTGAATCTTGGGGAATCACCGGAAGAACAACTCAAGTTTAAGCAACCCGCGTACTTTGCTCCTTGTCATAAACGATATCGCATAACTGAGAAAAGATAATGTCGTTATTGTCTGATGAACCTGTCTGCACAGCTTGCTTAGTTCTTTTCATGACTAGTGACGCGAAATAATAATCATCCGCGGATATAGTCAGTTTGCTTTTATGCTTCTATGGAACAGACATCACACCTACAGTAGATCTTGCAATCGCCCATGTACAGCAGTAACCGAAACGTAATTACGGATTACCAGAATTTCTGCGTGCATTCACGTGTTTCTGATCTTACAAAATCTATTCAAGCCCCAACCCACGAATTGATGATAGGCGTTCTTATCCGATGCATCAAGAAAACAACAAGTAGCATATGAAACCGCTGTGCGGGTAAAAGTTGTTTCAGTTCTTGACTTGTACAACAAAGTTCTTAATCCAACAAAAGTCAAACTCACTCACGACATTGTGCGAGTTTACCAGGTGGTATTCAGAACTGCGACCTGTATTAGTCGAATTTTCTTATTGGCATTATTTTGTGCTATAAGCCTAAATCGATTCTCGAATGCCAGTTTATGGTAGTAGCTGATTATTGGGTTGGATCAGGACTAGAAGAATCACCTTAGTAATCATGCGAATGATATTTGCTTTTACGTGATTAAAAACTCGAGGCAATAGGGTTTGTAATCAAAACACAAGATGAGAGTTGTGACCTTGTATGTAAACGAAACGATTTTCGAAAGGAAACTAAAGTAAACAAATTTTAAACGTTATAATTCACAAGGTCTTTAACTGATTTTCTTCTTTTTCAACTTATTTTGAGCAATTTATGTAATGCACGTTTCTGGTATTTTGCTTTTAACAGACAGATGGACAAAGGATATTTTATTGAGATATTAAAAGGATAGGGAAATAACTGCATGTTTCACTTTCCAGTCATACAGGGATCATTGTAAATGTCACAGGCGTGGTTTACCAATTGTATAGTGAACTGAAAGTGCATCGTACGAAATCGTTTAATGAGCTAGTAAATTGAGGTTTCAAAGACGCACGTTGCACGCTTTTATACAATAATAGCCAAAATATATTTGAACATAAACTATTATCCATTTTAGTACAAGCTCCATAATTTATATTCCGCCGTTGTGGTAGAACAAATAGTTGTCTCAATAAGGTTGTTTAATTAAGATCAAAAGGTAAAGTTAGTACCAATTTTTCGCAATTATTTGGAAAACCTACCAACTCTGAGTTTGTTAAATTCAATCTCAAACTACGTGGTTGATGTTCGTCAAATTAGCACAAATCGTCTATGCAGAACACACATTTTACCTTCGACAAACTGAAATTAACGATACTAAAGAACGTTTCTTGATTTTCGTCACCAAACAGTATTGCATTGCATCTTTTATTTTCATATTCCTCTGAAAACATTCCTTTAATATTGTCAAAATAACAGACGAAGAAAAAGTGGATCAAAAAGAACTGTTTGTGATTTTCAATTCCATAGAACAAATACCTCAATGACCTAAATTTTCAGAGTGTAATTAAACAAATCATGCTTTGGCATCTACTCACTTGCAAACAAAAACTAAATTGTTCAATATTTTATCTAACGTGTCAAGCTTTTCGTAGTGAGTATTCAACAAAACCAAATTCAGTGATAAACCTCATTGAAATAGTGTTGCTAGTTTATCACCGAGTAGTTCAGTAGAATGCAACGTTGAACAGCTAGTTGTGCTTGACTCATCTTCGTCAGTACCTGGCACGTTAGGCAATTTGGGCGTCACCCGGCACACTCCCAACCACGCAAGTGCTTCATCACACGGCAATTTTATAATTGATTTCCATCCTCCCATCTAACTATCCCGCTACTATCTCAAATGCGTGACCCTTTGTTTAACTAAATCAATAAACTAAATGCTCAAATCTGAAGATACAGGAAATTGTGGTATTAACCCAGTTTGCGACAGAAGAAAATGTAAGCCTACATGGAACAGATTGTACTCCGTCCTCTACTGTTCAGTAGAACACCGAACCGGAAACACAAATTAGGGCGGATCTCGTTTGCGTAAGTGTATCATATGAAGGGAGATCGAAATCCAATGGATATTTGATATTGCTATAAATTCTTTTGAAACAGAAATGCTCCACAATCATTTTTGAGGCCTAGAAAAGTGTATATGCACACCATGAGCGGTTCTTTTAGAAAGCTGAAACAATCATGTGAGGGATATTGCTGGAACAATATATGATGAAATAACCGGAAGGTAAGATTTCTTCAAATTACCAATAGCATATCGGCGTAAATTTTAACTACTCGGTTGGTTGCTGGAAATATTAGTAATTCCGAAGATAATCGATTCACCAACTGATGTTAAACCACGGCGCGACGAAGGTTTTTTTAATTTTATGAATTGAAAAAGACTTCATTTTAACGAAAACCGCGAGCGCGTAATGCCGAATAATATTATTAGCCTAGTAGTAATTTCAAGCACATAAAAAAACATTCGTAAACAAGACATCATTTTCAGTGATTGATGTGCATGTCTACATTTTCGGGGTAAGGCAATTTATGAGAACAGAGATTCAATAAATTAGTCTCATGACATTGAAGAATGTTGTTATAACCTGGGTGATCTTTTACCTGAGTTATAAATTTTGCCCTGGAAATTGACTTTCATGAAATCAAAGTAACGAAATATGTAAAGCGCTTTAAACGGCACTAGCCAAATATTACAACGGTGTTTAGAATTTTCTGTTGTCAGTTATTGTTATTGAATGGTAAACGTTATTGATACATTCTTCCCGTATGAGGAATATTACAATGTATTTGCATAAAATACTTCACGCAAACGGATATTTGATAGCTAAAATATCGAATAGGGATTAAAATTAAACTCAAAAGTGTCATCTTTTCGATATTAGAATAGTCTAATTACATAAATAATTTTACAGTAAGAAACAATAAAATCATATGATCAGATTTTACACCAACACTATTGGTATACCGCTATCCCGTGCATTTTTTGCAGTTTTACGTGCATTGCATTTGCGTTCAACTCATAAGCATTTGAGAGTGATATGGACAAATAGATGCCATTTATTCGAACCGACCACCTTTTAGACTACTTATAAGCACAATCCTCGGCTACTCCAAAGAAACAAACACTTTGAAGCACCAGATTTGATTTTCCCTCTTATCAGAGATGATTAATAGTTTATGTCCACCGACCAGTCTGAGTACTGAACTCCGGGTCCATTACATAGAAGGTGTGTTATTACTTTGCCCACCAGCGCGTACTCTGTTGTTCACGAGAATTGCTAATGTGTGTTGGTTCAAATGGTTTCTTCAGTTATTTAGCTCGGCCAGGTAGCGACGAAAGGAAATGAACCGTCAACGACAATCGATGAAAATTCAGCAAGCAGAAGAAGCGTTTCTGGCAACAGTACAAAGTGCACATGGTTCGTCTGAGATTGCAAATAATGCATAAATTGAACGATTTATCCAGAGCCGTTAAGTGAAATTACTTGTTGGTTTTATTTTTGCATATCCTTTTCGACCATAGAGAGAATAAATTATCGGACGTCAAACAGTTCTTTTTGATGTACAAACTTAACGGCACTTGCTAAATGCATTCAAACGAAATAAAAATTTATTATGCAGATATGCGAATCATAGGTTAACTGATGACCGGCGAAATGCAATACGATCATGTGATGCAAACCACAAAATATATAACAAAGTTTATACAGCAAGATATTTGCTGAGATTTTACCCCTCAATAAACTTATAGCGCACTGATTATTTCTGTTCAAGGTGAGAGCGTCTACAATTGCGCAAAAGATTATAACAGCTAACTGGCGTGTGAAAATGGAAGTAAAACTGATCGTACTTAGGAAACATCCCCAGAGAGTGTGACAGACACGCGTCCCACATCGCGTATCACCGGTTGCCTGTGCAATGGCTGTTGAAGCGTTGAGTTTCGGGTTGGGTATGAAAGCGATAGACAAACAGACGAGAGAGAAGTGACGCACTTGAGCAAAATCATTCCCATTGGACATCTGCCTGTTGAGAAGTTATTTTTCTAAATGCGTGGAGGACATTCTTACTTGGTCAGAGTATTTAACAACATCAGCACTGTGCACCGATCACGCTCCCGTATGTTCTCGCTTTAAAAGCAGAGGAATATGACCATATATAGGTACAATTTGAAGGTCAAAAGTTTTCACATAAAATGCGCATGAAGATACCCCAGCCGATCCAACTGTGGTTCAACGAATTCAATTCCAAAGTTAGTATTCTCAGTAAACATGGTAAAAATGAGGAGTCCGGAGTGGATATGCAATGTTTTCTGTCCAAACAGAAAGCCAATCCGTTTCTACTCATCGGTATAAATACGCTAATTTTGGATACAGTGACCGTGTTTCCACCTGCTGAAGGCACATTAGATGCTCTCCATGTAATATGCAGGCAACTACTCACATTCTACCGTACAAAAACAAGAGAAGTGCGTGTTTTTACATTGGAACTCCTACCATCAGTTTTATTTGTATATTTGTGCTATTTTCGTAAGTCAAAAATCTATGTTGTCGGTCTGTTTTTCTTTTTAATTTTTCGCCCCCGTGTATCTGGCCATAATCTGGCACACGTGCTTCAGTGAAACCGGACAGTGTGTGACTGGTGGTTACTAGCGTCAAAATTGGCAGACGTTGAACTGATTAATCATTTTTGGGACTCGATCAAGCTTTGATAAAAGAAAAGAAGTATTCTCCAAATTTAAAAGCATGATATTGAGGCAAAGTTACAAAACAATGGGCAACCCTTTTTCGTTGCCGTTCCACCTGTTTGGAAACAATAGAGTGCGCATAATCCTCAAACGATTGACTTTCAGTCGTTTGGTCACACTATACGTTTTTAGGATCAAACACTTCATCAGAGCCAATGTTATATTCGAGGCCGCCTTTAAAAACAACGGAAACAGCACAACAATTAATGGGCTCCCACAGTTAGCCTAATCAATGTGGCATACAAATCCGAGATGCTCGTTAATCGCTATCTGGTTTGTGTATCAATCCAGCAGTTTTAGTTTTGTTATCGTACTCCGGTTTCGAGAGGACAGGACGTGAAGAAAGACACTGGTCGAGTATTGGTATGATTAACTAAGCGTTGATCAAATAACGGATGACGAAAACATTTTTCGAACGCGGTTTAGGATATATCTTTTGGATTACGTTTCTGAGAGCACAGAGAAATAAATAGATTTCTCTTTCGCTATCTATTTACATTCAGCAAGATCAGATAACTTTCGGCTGTGGAGGTAATTGTTCTGACTGATTTGCTGCCAGTCATCATGGGGTTTTGTTTTTTCACTTCCATAGGCCCTTTCTATCCACGTAGGCAAAAGATTTTCCCTTACATGCAATTTACGGAGTATACCTAAGTGTTTTGAAACTAAAAAAGACTAAACAATATTTTCCGTGTTAAAAAGATGTACACATTGCGTAGATTGATATTTTCCACTAGTGAAACTAATGAAAGCTTCATATTTGAATTGAAAAGTCAGCAATGCAAGGTCCAGTCCCTTTAGTTTCGTTAGGTTCTCTTAGTCGGCGAGGTTCACTTTGACTCTGGATAAGAAAAAAAACTCTTCTGAGGAGAATGCACATCCCAGAAAATTCCTGAGATGTTGTTTATTTCATTAACCATTTGAATCCCATTTGAGGATTTTACCATGAGTAGCAGGAATAAGTAACTCAGTCGGAGATTTCACGATCTGACAATGAAACATAGTTATTCCTTGGCTCCAGGTTCAAACAGATAAATTCCATAATGGTTCGCAAATGACGATGAAAGATGTCTTTAAGCATAATCGCTGTAAACTGTATCTTATTTAATAAGATCAAATAAACCTTTCGAATTTGGGTCTCAAAATCTTCGTTAAACAAAAGCAATCACTATCATTGATGATGACTTTGAATACCTTCGCCAAAGAACTTACATATAGTTGAACAATATAGAGAGCAGAAATCAGTCTGTACAATAAAGCTGAAGAAGGTACGTAAAACTACTTTGATATTACAAAACTATATTAAATGTGCGGGTCAATTACGTGACTGAATTAAGCTGCATTATATTTGTTGCAATGAGTTTTCTTTGTGGTTAGTAGAAACAGAACATAAATTGACCATTTCAATGAATTTCCTCAATGTTTCTGATATATCATTACGGATTCTAGGCACTGTCTTGATAACGATTCCCAACAATACCAATCCTCACATACAAGGGTCTAACCTATCTATTTGTGTGGATCAGTTTGGACTTCCATGTTCCATCTTCAGAACTCTTGTCAACGAAGATTGGTACACCTCGCATTGTCAGCCAAAATTCGTTGGTTTAAAAAAAACTCAGTATTGAACAGCGAAAATCAAAATATGTGAAAAGGTATTCACAGTGGCAGTTTATATAAAATTTTCCATTTGAATAGTGAAAACTGAGCGATCTTGATGGGATTTGGTTCTAGGCTTCAGTTCTGCATACCTTTACGATCTAAGCAGCAAGGCCCTACCAACAGCTCCGATGTTTTCGGATTCTGTATTTCAATCATGAGACCAGAGCTCAATGCACGTTTGCGTTTTCTGAAAAACCTCACAAATACCCCTCCTCCACTTTAGAAAAGAATAAACACATATTCTGTCCCAATTTCTCTCAAGAATAAATAATTAGGCTTCAAAACGTAGCTGCCAACAGAGGGGAAATTTGTGAGAAGAAACTCAGTTTTGGTGTATCACCAGTGATAAATTGAAATTTAATGAGGTTCTCTAAAGTATATCATTGATATTTATTTCATTTTTATAATTACAAGCCCAATTACTTGATGTGCTGGGTATTTTCCTGCCTAATAAATAAAAATATCGAGAAATGGTAATACTTTTTTTAATCTCGCCCGTGATTTGATTTCAGAACGTTCCATTTCCACTCAGTTTACTGTTCATCGTGGAAAATCGGGCAACACAGTTCAAAGCGGCGGTCTCGAACCGTCTTCAGCCAGTTCAACTGGAAATGTGAAGCGAGAGTTAGATGACGTGGACGAAAACGAAACGGTCCTGGCGGTCGGAAAAAGGTCGAAATCGGGATCGAAACAGGATAGCTTGGGTGATGTACCAAGAATAGTTGAAATGTTAGAAGAATTTCTCTATCAAATCTATGCGTTGTCAGTTGGACGTCAAGGAAAGGATAATGAAAGAAACAAAACTGAGGCCGACCGTGTAGGTTTGTTTTCAACACCTACGGTGTTCAACGATCCTTTTGTAATCGGAAATGCATCTATCCACGACAGACTAGGTACTGTCAAAGGGAAGCAAGCATCACAAACGGGAGAAAGCAATGTTTCTCAATTCTGGGACTTTACCTGGGGACAACTTGAACAGAAACAGGTGAGAACAAATTATCTGAGGGTTCAACAAAAACAGCGCATTGCTATTGCACAAACTAGTTCTAGAGGGGCATCTCCCGCTTTTATTCCCCTATGGCCATATTGGTCTAACAACATCTTTCTGCTTTTCAGTTGCTATCAACAAACTGAACAATAACCCCTAACCAAAGATATGAACGAATTTTGATATGAAACCTAAAGAGATACTGCAAACGGGTCATTTAAATATTTTAGCTTATTTATGTTTTCTATTCGGTTGTGAATTAAATAGCTTTTGTTTCATTACGACAATATGGTTATTCAGTTAAGGGTCAACCACTGAGAAACCAAATATTCCATCTGGGTCAAACCACATTTTTGATCTTGAAATTTATCAAGTGGCTAATTTGGTGGTATTGGCTTTAGTGAGTTTCATTCTATTCTCATTCCTAAACATCCATCAAAGTAGGTCACTGGACTGGAACAGCAAGCTAACTCTCCATCGGGATAATTCGATTCACTTACAGTAACAAAACCTATATGAGGATAAATTATTTCCTAACACGTTTAGATGGGCGGTCGCCGCTGATTCGTAAGATCATCAAAATATCAAACTGGAGGTTCTAATTTCGAAACTCACCATCACCAATCTCCCCCATTTCTGTATTTCCCGAGACAGCCTCTATATTTGCACAGCCACTTTCCCGGAAGTTCATCTTACATAACCATAGTCAATAAACAGAAGGAGAAAGTAAAAGTACTTATTTATTTATTTATATGACTATGAGCATGGATCTCAATTTCAAGTCGAGTCAAATCACAGCTTACTTTATTCATCCTAGTGGATTGATTTTCCGCACCATGCACACCAGGTCAATTTATAATCGCATACATTTACAGAGGATAAAAGTAAGATACTGCTTCCACAAGTCAATATTAACATGTGTAAATAGAAATTATTTATCTAGCATTTTTTAACTTTTTCTCCGAAGGATGCTTTCTGTAGTATCATTCTGAAAAGACTTGATGTGAGGGAAAAACGGCTGGCAGTGAAACGAGCATACACTTTTGTAGCTACACCTAGTTACGGAAGTGAATGCACATTGTTCACGTTCTGTGTGTGATGGGTGAGTAATGTATGATGCAATATTGTTACAGAATTATTCATAAGAGGTAAATGTCTGTCAAAAAAAAGGTTGAGCAAGTATAAATAGGGAATGCTGCTTTTGTGCGAAATGATTTTAACAAACTGACAGACTTGTGCAGTCTTTAAATTTAAGACCGACAAATAAAACTGAGGAGTAGTAAGGGACTTGAGTGACAGCACAATTATATACAAAAAAGGTGACTAAATACAGTGGAACTTTTAAAGATCGCAAGTTGGATATAATGAATCACAATAAGCAAATTCTTTACTAAGTAGAGTTGAAATGTGAAGTCCGTGTGAAATATTGGCAGATAGCAGCACCGAATTATTGTAGAGAGCGTACTGCGTGGACGGACTAGTTATCAACCGAGTACGGAGTAATTTCTTTCAAAAGAATGTGGTTGTTCACCTTTGGCTAGTGAGAAAATGACATGCCTATTTTTATGGTTTTTAAACGATACTTTGCAATGCGAAGACTTAAAGCTTAAGGCACAGTAATTGGTTTGAAGCTGTAAGAAACGGACACCACCAAGGAATTGAGAACCTATGAAAACATCATTGGCATATTTGATAGAAGGATTATCTTGACCAGTGGTTGATTTCGATTATAGAGAGAAATAAAAGTTAATAAAAATTGTATTAAATTTTGGTACTTTGACAATTTCAAGCGTGTTTCAAACTAAAGACACTGAGCTGAAGGCTGATAGCCTAACAGAAAAAACCGTATGCGACGTCCTGACAAAAGTCATACATTTTACCAGGTCTAGTTTCAATCAAACATGATTACTCGTAAATATGAATTCACTATTGGTTTTCCTAATGAATTGCATTGTTAAAAGTATGAGACAAATTTTGGCTGAATTGCTCAACTGTTTCAGGTGACAGGACAAACCGTCAGTAGAATCAATGATCAAACACGTATGGCTGTGATAACCACGATTTTGCATGAGATAAATGAATTCGCGAGCGAACTGCCGGACTTCGCTATGCGTTCCCTTTGCCGTGTTGCCATTCTGACCAGTCCGCATCGAGATCAGCGACAAAAAGCAACAATGGAAATGACAGTGAAAGAACATTCTCCCCAAACGGTTGGCGTGAACATGGAGAAAATTACTGAGGATGATGCAGTAAGTCGAGGGAGCTTTGTATTTCTTTCTCGATCACGAGGAATCAAGCTTAGTTAAGGTGATCGTGAAATTCAGTTTTATTTTCATTTGAAAAATAGCAACATATTGTATGTTTTCATTTGAATGCACGCCTCCAGTTGTGACAACAAACTAATGAAGAACTAAATCAAAAAAGAAGTTTGACTTATTCGTCTGCAACATTTTCGGTTTGCTTTTCACTTTGGGGAGTTGGCTTACTTCAAACGTGTTGAATGTAGTCCATATCAAAAAATGTATCTTTGAAGTTGGAATAGCGACAACAGTACCGAAAGTATGAGTCGTTACACAAAAGAAACAAACTTAATGCGCGTCTTGTCTGCCATTGGATAAAACGCTTTATGAAAAATTAATATACAAGCAAACTGTTCGATAAATAATCCTGAATTTTAATCAAGTTTAAACAGCATTTTGCTTAGCCCAATCACCGATTTAGCACTTCAACCCTCATGATCACCGACTATTTAACCGCTCTTTTGATTTAATAATGGTGTTTAATCAAATTTCATTATAAGCAACTCCTCAATTATTCACTTTCTTTATTATATTCATTTTTTATTTTGCTTCTCTTGATTAAGTATAGAACGGTAGGATTTTCGAAAAGAAGCTTTGCTTAGTATTTAAAGTGCATTCTACTTGAATGGTACCACAGATTGTTGAATCCCTCATAAAAGGTGTTTCAAAATAACAAGCTTTACTTGGATTTTACTTGACACTTGTTTTGAGTAAACCGATAAGTAGTAAATACGTTTTTATGATGGTAACCCCCAGATCCTTCGGGCACTGTATTTAGACTGGAATTGTTTCAAAAACGTTGAGTAAGTATATAGTGTGAAAGACAAGAAGGATCAGCAAAGAGCACTTTTTACTTTGCTGGTGCTCGTCTGTAGTGGGAACGTTATACCTCAAAAAGAAACTGAAACTGTGAAATCTTCGGTTAGGCGCAGACATTCGCTTACGCGGCTGACAGACAACAAACTGACCGCCCTCCCACGTGAAATAAATGAGATGCTAAGGTTCATACAAATATCTCTGTCGGGCATTTCTGCGAGATAAGCTTGGACAACGCATCGGTAAACGAACGCAAATTTGGTGAAACATCCCTGCAGTTTTTCTCAGTGTACCGCTATGCAAATGAATCACTAGGACAAGATAAAAATTTAAACTCTAAAAACCTGGAGTCAATGCTGGATTGGTCTCGAAGAGAGAACTGAAATAAGCAGTATACTCAGTGACGCTACTTTTAACAATGCGGTGTTTTTTCATAATATTTTAAAATTATTCAAAACAATTTCTTCCAAAATGGAGTTTAAGAAGGAAATCGTTCACCTGACACGGGAAAAGGTTTGAAGCTCTACTAAGTTGTGAAAATTTATCACAACCCACTGATTCTGAAATTTGTTTCTTCAGCCATACATACAACGAATACGGGTAACAGTAGACTAATCAAAATGAAATACAGTGCAAGTTCCACATTAGTTTAAATCAAAACGAAATACAAAAGGAATGAAAGTGAAAATCTGCCCTAAACACTGCGGTAGTAAATTTACTAATGATGATAGTGTGCGCGGTCTGTAATTTCAGATGCAAATTATTGTTTACTATTTTCCAACCCGACACGATATACGAAAATAATTCACTTGTATGTGTTTTCTACTCGTAACCCTAAATGATAATGTTTTATGGGACCATGCTTATAATGAGCTAAGATTTCTTAATGTTTTGAATGATTCATGAACGAAAAATGTGTAGGATGTTGCCTTGGAAATCTGCCATTTAGCACAATCTTCGGAACTGCACAAACAAATCGACATCGTGTTTCTGTCTCAAAGCGCCAATCTAATTTTCACATTAAGTAGCACCAATTTAAATGAAAAATAAATTTTGTCAATAATCAGGTCGTTATGCCAAGGTGCGGACTCATGCACCTCCGTTTAGTCTGGAATTGACCGATTTCACCAAATAAGTTTGTGTCTATCATTCCAGTTTTCTGCCTATATGAAATAAAGCAAATAGCATCTGGCACAATTTGTGCACAAGATTCATTTGAAATATGGAAATGTAAATAGATGTAAGGTTCCGTTAGTCGAACAAACTCTTATCAAATTACTCAATCTTTCCATACGACCGGGAGGCAAACGTGATTTCTGTAGGTAAACTCGGATAAAATCATTCATGTATTTTTCATTTGAGCAGTTCCCGCTAACTAACAGGGCACGAAAAACGAAACGTTGCATTTAAAAATTGCTTAGGCTATCACCAGAGTTGCCGTTTGGTTGAACTCAGTATGGTTAACTTTCTTGTTCAACTTCACCTATTTAGGTGGAGCAGCATCTCCATGAAATCCAAGTCACCCCACATTTGTTTCAATGCACAACTGCCCAAGTAATCATTTGCCGGGAGCAGAATTCTAGTAGAATTTTTAATAGAGCATCTTTGCCGCCGATTCTTTTCCATTAATATTCTGCCTGATTTAAGGAAAATAAAATAGTGATTTTCGGTGTTTGTTGTGTGTTGTCATGCAAATTTTCTTCATGATATGTGAATTATTCCATTTTTCAAAGCTTCGTTACGTTCGCACCCCACCAATACTAACAATCTGTCGGGAGTAGATAGCAATGTACACTTGTTCTTGTGGCTTAAAAAAGTAAAGGCTCTTAATTCTTTGTTTATTCATAGCATACTAAATCATTAATCGGAAAAGAAAGAAAGTGATGAACAGTCTACTGCAAAACCATTAACGTCTCTGTGTTTTCTGAAATCTAGGCATACGGTGGTCTGCATTAGTTCTCACTCTGAAGGTTTGTGTACTTAAAATAAACAGTGTTAAGGAGACAGTGATGAACAAGTACGTGCGCAGTGCTGTGTTTGGTTCTGCTTGTATTCAGTGTATGAGGTAGATCGTTCAATTCTTGTATGCATATTTATAACACTTGCTTTGATAAATAACAGTTTATTCAGTTTCCCTTGTATGCAATACACCTGACATTCAGCTGACTTTAGTGTTTCTCATAAAAAGTGCAGTTTTAAAATAGTTTACGTTAGAAAACTTCAAGGTTTTTGATCAACTTTTTTACAATTCAATCACACTTGTACAATTCCATTTTTGGATTCCCATACATTTTTGCCAGGAAACAGACCAGTGTCCATCCAAAACGCTGCAAACAACAATTGAATCGCAGGCACCGGATTTGGACACCGAATCAAACCAGGAGGCACTGTCCCCGCCGATTGCCCCATCTGTCAGAAGCAAGTTCAAACGACGCATGTCCAAAATCGCGCACCAAAATTTGCCAGTCCATTCGAAAAAAATTGAGTCGTCCGCGTTTGTCTATCCGAGAATGCAGGGACTAACTGAATCATTTGTGTTGGAACTTCTGTTCAGCCTTCGTTCTTATAAAATCGATGTCAAATCTGAGTATACGCGGCTTGCTCTGACCTCAATCGAAAATCGTGCAACCATGGAGTTGTGGTCCAAGGTAAACGAGGAGACAACGGTTTACGTCTGTTGGTAAAGTACTGTTTATAATCACGCTCATAGTGNTGTTTGATTTTTGCTTGTTTATTAAAACATTAAATGCAGGGAATAGGAAATGGACTGCTTAGTCAGTACTCCCAGGGTTTCTTCATAATAAAAGAAAAGTACCTTACATTTTAATGCATTACAGCTCTCCTGTTCAGAAAAATAAGACATTGTCGATCGAAACGAACTCTGTCCACTTAACCCCTCCCAGAATGGATAGCAATTAGAAACTACATTTAATGTACAGGCTGAAGTTTGGGATTACAGCTCGTTTGTTTTAACGTTGAATTATCAACATTTTGATAATTGTTTGAATTTCACGGTTGCTAAAAGGTAAACTATCGATAGATGTCGCGCTGAAAATGACGGTTCCCTGAGAGGAATTGGGAAGTTCCATAAAAGAGGAAGTATTCATTAGAATTCACTGAATAAAATGGGAACAACCCGTCCGATTCATATATTAATTTATAATTATCTCATAACTTAACTTTTTGTATCACTTTTCCGTATATCATAAATTACTATGTTTTTGGACTTTGCTTTGTCAACAGAGACGGAGTGCATGCAACCGGTTCCCTTCAATAGATTCATGTGAGCGAGAAAAGGTATCATGATTACAGAATGTGTTCGATGCATCTTTCTTGCAGATAGCTAATCAGCTGTGTACTCAGATTTAGACCTTGTTCAGTTGAAAGAGCAGCAAACCATGAGAGGGCGAACACAAACAGGGAACATAAATCAATACGGAGAAAAAAGGCCAAATAATCCGGATAGGTTTGGCCATAGACGTAGGGAAGGTTAAAACTGTAAACGGACAGACACACTGTTTTCTTGACAGCGCGAGACCAACCGCCGAATTGATCCTCTTACACAGGTTGGCTGTGTAACATCTACCAGCATCTGCCCTATAAAACCATAGTTAGCGACTTCTCTCCTGGAACACGATAACAATGAATTTTATCGCGGGGGTTAATCACTTGTTACAAACTGTTAAATGACAAAGGACTGAAGGTAGAATTGTTACAAAGACCTTGGTAACTCATTTTCAGGCACTTAACAAACCTTTGTAAATATCATATTTTCACTCGTAAAAGATCACAACCACAGAGCTATGTTGATTATTTGACCAAGAATGTCGTTGTTTTCAATCCTCAGGCTTTGTTGGTCATCAATGCGATTAGAAAACTGGTAGAACTTCAATCAACCACAAAGGACCAACTCCATTCGGAAGGCATTAAAACATCTTCCTCGCCCGTGCGTCGTAGTTCCCAATCCTTCCAGTTCTCTTCCCTAAATCCGCAGCAAATAAGCTTGGCCAGTGCGTACTGCAGCCTTTGGACAGAACTGGTGGACAAGAAAGATCAGACGGACAATGCAACTCAAGAAAATTCGTTCGCTGTGAACTCAAAATTGGTTCAGGTTGCCCGTGACAAATTTATGCGCTCGATTGTGACGAATGCGAATTTCCAGACAACAAAACCGCCGGACGATATCCCATTACACACAGAAACTGGCAAAGGAAAATCTGACAGAATGAAACGAAGTTCATCAATGGATAATCCGTTCACACAATTAGGAACCAACATCGACCGCGCGGAAGCATGGAATGGAGGCATCCAAAACCTAAAGATTGATGAAGACATTAGTCCGGCTTGGACGTCTTCCAAGGGCTGGTTGAAGAAGGCATTTAATTCCAAAAAAGCCAATCTGAATAATAAAGAAGTTTTGAACTATGTGACTTTTTCGCTTAGCAGTTTCAACTAAGGTTGTTCACGTTTGAAATAACACAAAATGGAATGCTAAAATGAACAATATCCCTTGGTTGCATAGCGTTTACTAATCAAAGAGAAACACGGTAATTTAGTACCAATTTTCATCACAGAAATCATTCAGAATGAAAACAAAAGGCCCTTTGAGGGAAAATGCATGTGCATATACTTAAGTATGCAAAACTACAGCTCAGTTTTAGAAAATTTACCGAAACTTTAATAGTCTGATCAATCAGGTTGTGAAAGTTTTCAACTCAGTGATAACCTCGGAGGCTAAGTACTGAGATGAGCGTTCTACCTATTTGGTCCCAAGTTCGATCCTCAATGGGATCGATGGATTGGCACTGCTGATGAGACCCAAACAGATAAAAAAATGTACAGTGTTTCCTCGATTTTCGGTTCACCCTTCATTTGCTCTATGCAGGACGAATTCCCTCTAGGTAATTATATTTAATTCAGTGGCTTCCTAAAACGGAACACGGAATTTTCAGTTTAAGGATATTTTATTCCCATTAAAATAAATGTGGTGCCAATAATGCAAGTGCTAGATCCTAATGGAAATTTACTGATTGTTTTACAGGTCCTTGTTGTGCAGGATGCCATAGGAAATTTAATCAACACGAAATGCATTTTGGTGGGAATTAAACAAATTCTGAACAAATTTTCGTCGCAATAAAATGTTACTTGCTAGAATGTAACAGTTTCCGGTGCTGATCAATGCAAGCAGCGATAAACTGCATATAGTATTAGACACACTGTTCACTTTATGGATAGTTGTAGCAAGTCATGTTTTCCGATAAAATGATAATTTATGCATAAGACATAAGTTAGTACACTAATATCTTGGCCGTATTCTCTATTGACAAAAGTAACGTTTCGGTTAAGTCGATATGAGCGATGCAAACGGCACGTTCATTTGACAAGATTTTATGAATCTGTGGACTGGATAGAGAGAGAGAAAATGAAGAAGAAACAGACATTTGTAGCACCCTTCCTTGATCGATGATGTTCAAATGAAACAAATTCAGTGAGCAGTAGGACTAATTTGACTCATGAAACAACGAATTCCCCCTAAAGGATTGGTTTGAATGAATGGTGCATCCACCAGTCATTCATCCTATGAGTATAACCGCTTGTGTACATAAAAAAAGCAACCAATTGATTGTTTGATAGCTGCAATTTTAGTTCTTGTGTAAACATTCGTGTTGTTTCTTTTTCTAGCTCACTCAAGCTCATTCGTATTGCCTTCGTGTTCACTTCACAAAAAATAGCCTTTAAATTTTTTTTAATCAGTAGAAACAAAAATGGTTAGTAAAAATGGAGAAAACTGAATCCATTAGCTTTCCTGCCACAAACAGAACGCACAAGGTATAGTACACTGTTTGACGTCGCGTAATCGATCATCAATTTGGTCGATGTATTTGCATCATTAATATAANTTAATATAACCCAGCAACTGTTTGGTGCATTTTTGCCCTGAATACGGCTAAATTTGTGATGAACCTGAAATACGTTGTATACTATTTTTCCATCTGTTTATGTATACATACATATAAATATGTGGAAATGAAGTGCAAAAGACATAGCTGGACACTCAGTTCAAGGTTGAGCTAAGAGCAGTCTGCACCTCGTGGGCTGTTCGCTAGCATCTCNGCATCTCATTTTGATTTTTCAAAGTCATTCATGTGAACCATTTTCTTTGAGTCGGTGACGTCTGTAACATGAATGCTAATGCAAAAAGATTCTGCTAGCATTGTTTTTCTGCTTTCCATGGTAGAACCCGGTAGTGACCTCTCATAAGTCAAGCGAGGGTATGCTTGGGTGTGTGATACACAGTTCCGCTCGCACGATAATAAAGATGACGAGTTAGCTTTAATAAATGTTCATTAGGTCTCGCAAGTCTGGTGCATCTGTGAAAACCGAGCTTTTAACGGAAAGAAAAATTTCATTATCTGATTGCTGAAAACCCAAAACATTTGTGACAGAAGAGTTGAAACAGGACAAAGATTAGTAAATTCAGCAGGAGATAAACGACCATCTTTCAACAAACCCCGGTATTGAAATATATAAATTAGTGATTAGTAATTTCTTTCACTAAGCGTAGTCTTCAGTATGGAGTAGACTAACTGATCGGTTACGGTAACCTAATTTAAGGAGATGCATTGATCATTGTCCAACCATAGGCTGTGATTATGTTTACATTGCACACACAGAGTTGAGTACCTTGATCGTTCTCACCATTTTAATACACTCATAATTATCCACACTTTCAACCTTTTCTAGTGATGTTGTTGACCACAGACAGGTGACCATGCTCACATTAGCATCATTGGATCCAGTGAAAACCGCACTGCTCGGAGCAAAAGCGGATATCGAGCTATAAGACCAACTATAGTAAACGTAAACACAGATTCAATGTCTTACATGGAGTCTCAGAGTCCTTCGTTGAGTTTTACACAGCATTTAGGGATTTGATTTGTTTGATGTCATGGATTTCATTAATTTAAAGTTGGTTAAGTAATGCCTGAGTTTGAGCACGGTGTTCACTAAGGAGTGCATGCTTCTTCAATACGTCGTTCACATTCTGCCGAAGATGTGTAGGAATCGAAGGGAGCAATCATTTCGCATGCGAGCCGGTCGCGAGGCGTGAGCCAAATGTTTTAGAAGAAAGAATAATCTACGGCATGTCTAATGCTGGCATCGGAAGCTGTAGTGATTTGCAGTGGAAATGAACACTCAATAGAAGAATAATCACCAATCATGGCCAATTATTTTCCACATTGTAGTTAATGTTTTTTGTGCATGAGAGATAAATGTCAATTGGATTAATTTATCCACATTGCGTGACTCACGTAGCTGAAAATCCTATCAAGCTGGCTGAACCTTGTGAAGGTGACTTTAGTTCATTGTAATGATTATTACTAAGTTAATCCAATCACAAGCTAGGGTTTTCAGTTATTCCTTTGCCTTAGTTGCGACTGTTATTTGTGATATTTTAGGAGCCTGTTGGAGTTTTTCTTGGCTGCCTGACTTAGCTTTTTCCAGCACAATTTACATTGCTATCAGGTCTGGGTTGGAAATTCTTCCTGACGCTATTTTCAATGTTAGCTGTACTATTCACGAAAGTGGATTGAGAGAAAGTATTCCCTTGATGTAAAGTGATAAATTTAGTAACGTTTCAAATAAAATTATCCAACATTTGGCGACAGAAACCAGTTCCAAGATTGGTTCACATTTACATGCATCCTGTTGAGGATTTTTCTGCGATTAACTAATAGAATTTCAAACACAGTATCCTTTTTTAATTTAGATGCGTGTTTGGAGAGAAAAACAAAAATGCACAAGTTGAATAAATATAAGCGAACAAATCGTCTCATATTTTTGAACCAAAGCATTCAATCATTTCTTACTCAAATTATTCCACAGTAAAGAAATATACGTAGGTTCAAATCTATCAAAAGGAAATGTGTAAATGAGAAAGGAAAAGTGTGCGCGCATCGTATGCAATCTAAACTGGCCGGAAAGGCGAGGGATTAAGGATTTTTTATGTGTACCAATTCAACAATTCGAATGGGGAGGATGTTAAACTTTGTAATCAAATAATCATGGAATGATCACGAAATCTGATACTTTTCTGACACCACCCTCACCTGTCCACTGTCAACGGACTCATTGATATCGACCGAGTTCACGCCCATTCAGATAAAAAATGTCCAATCAAAACGTGTTAAACGGGTCGAACCAGACCACTTTGCGGAGAGAGGCGAAGGTATGTTCTGTTGTAAAGCCACCTCGCATATCGACCTTTGCAAGTAAATGAGCAACCTTGACCTGTCGCAACCTAGGGATAATCTGAACCTCACCTCAGTTGAGAATGAATTTTGGCGATTAAATTAGTCAGCTGCTTGAGCATAACAAAACAATTATGGTTGTTACAGTCGGTCAACGACCGGTCCAATAAATAGATTTTAGAATCCTTTCATCTGATAAGCGAATAATATGAAAATGACAAACACAAATAAGTAGTTCGTCCCCTCAATGGGAACAAAATTATGAGAACAAAACAATCCACGTTTTTCTCCGTCGATCAATCAATAACATAAATAAGGGGAATGATTGATAAGATATTCAACCCCCCCCCCTTGGTTTAAAGTAGGAATGAGAAATGATTCTAGCATATCTTCCGAATTTCCGTCAATTTATTTGACTCTGATCACATCTATTCTTTCTAAGTTGTCATTCGGACTCACTTAATATTAAAAATTGCATCAAGGAACCAAAAGGTCGTTTTACCGTTTTCTCTTTTCATTTCAACACGCCAGTTTGCTATCAAAACCACAAAACTAACGAAACTATAAACCACCGTGAATTATTTGTAGTGAGTCAGCAGTATTCAGACAATGAAAAAGAACGATGAACAGTTAACTTGTTATACATGACAGCTAAACGTGTGGAGCAATGAATATCGTTTTAGGTCGAATGGTAATGATACACTCTGTCTGTTTGCGCGACTTGGTATACTTCCCAATAACCCACATTGACTTCTTTGTCTCCTTTAGATCCACCCTGTACCTGCCTTTCCTATTTGTGGTTATTTTGAATAAACCATGAGCGTATTAGTGATCAACTGCACTTGTTGCATCTTGTGTTGTTGCACCGCATGCAACAAGCACATGATAACAGTGACAAGGTTGTAGTGTTAATTAAGATCAACCGTTGGACGTTTTTTTCCCGCCTGTTACAAGTGCATGTGCTACCTTTGATGCCGAAGGCAGTTTTGGCTTGATACAGCTAATTGGTTAAGTTCAAATTGCAAAATGGTTCCAATCCTTTACTTCTAAGCAGAAACCGTACATTCACAAGTACCTTGCTCTTTGTGTATTTTAGCACCAAGTATGTCAGTTGTAATTTCGTTCGAGGATAATGGAACTACTGAAAATACTACAGCTTAGTACCTGAAGTGATATTTTTACTGTTCTGAAATAACGCTTGTCA